ACATAACAAAACAGAAATATTTCTTACAGATTTATCAAATCATACTTTGGATTGGTTCTATCAAAGTATTTGGTTACTAAGAAATATTCATCAACACCAATAGGAATTATCTCAAAACATAACTCCAAAATCTAAAATGAAAAAATTCTCTTTTTCAACTCTACTCGAACCAAAATTACCTCAAACAACCCAATTACAACTAATGCCAAATACTTCAAATTTTATAAACAACTGGCTTTTATATGGCTTTTCTCTTTCTATATATATTTTATAATATCAAGACTAACATCTTAGGTTTTCTCCTAACCTATCCCTTGCTTAAATCTAATTTAAAATAATTATTTTAATCTTTCTGGGAAATAGGAGGTGTAATGTTACATTAGGTATCTTAAATGTAGTACAAATATCTTAGAAATCTTAACTATTGTATGTAGACTTAACTCTATAATTTCAATTAATAAAGTTTCTATTTTGGCATTATAAAAAAAAAAAAAAAAAAAAAATAGATTATCTTTATACTTATGTACAATTTGAAAAGTATTAAATAATTAATTATAAGTAAATATCTAGTAATAAGTATTTATAAATAAGAATTTAAGTTTGTAATTTTAATTCTACTAATTAATTAGAATAAGTATCTAGAAATAATTATTTGTAAATGAGTATTTACATTCATTATTTTAATTTTACTGATTAAAGTTAATAGATCATCTTAATATTCATATATAGTATAAAATAATTAATTAGAATAAGTATATAGAGGTAAGTATTTGTGAATAGTATTTATATTCATGATTTCAATTTCAATGATTTATATTAATAGATCAGTTGTCTTTATACTTACATACTATTTGAAGTGTATCAAGTAATTAATTAAAAATAAGTAGTATTTGCAAATTAATATTTAAGTTCATGACTTTAATTCCACTGGTTAACATTAATAAATCATCTTTATACTCATACACAATTTGAAGGGTATCATGTAATTGAATAGAATAAGTATTTATATTCATAATTTTAATTATTAATAGATTGCTTTTATATATATATAATTTAAAGGTATTAGATAATTAATTAAAAATAAGCATCTAGAGATAATTATTTGTAAATGAGTATTTATGTTCATAATTTCAATTTTACTAGTAAACTTAATAGATCATCTTTATACTCATACAATTTGAAGGTATAATAAATTGAAATAAATATGCAAAGGTAAGTATTTGTAAATGATTATTTATATTAATAATCTAATTCTACTGATTAGCATTAATTAGTCATCTTTATACTTAGTAAATAATAGATCGTCTTTATATCTATGCATTATTTAAAGGGTATAAGGCAATTAATTAGAAATGAGAACTCCTCTATCACTAGTATCTTTACTAGTGTTTTTATTAAAGAAGCAACCTGTGCTTTTATACAATTTATGATTTAAGAGACCTAATCTGCTAGAGGCTTCATGCTATCTCATATAACCTTTTATACAAATTAAATTAATTCAAACTATTATACAAGTAAACATACTTACATATATACTGTTAACTTTCCCTAAACTGATATGTTTAATAGCTAGATTTTAATAAGTTTTAAGAGGTTTATCAGTTTTAAAAAGAATTTATATAGTAAAGTAGAAAATTTTTTGATTAGTTTTAATAGGTTATCAGTTTTGACAGCATCAGTTTAGAGAGATTCAACAGTAATTAATTATTTTTAAGTAATGTTCTAATCTCTAATTGGCTCATAGCATAACAGATAGACATTAACATTTTAATATAATAGATTAGAATTGCAAAAGTGAAAGGTTCTTCTTTTGAGTCACTATTTGCATTGATTTCTATTTTATACTATATTTCATAATATAAACAAAAACATTGCTACATAGTTAATTTAATAGCTCACAAATTAATAAATTTTATTGTAAATAACATTGTTCTTCATTTGGTTAAATTAAAATAACTATATCTGATGAGGTAATTGTACTAGTATTTGGCAGAATAACTGTATTTGTTTTAGTATATCTTGGCTTTTTTGCAAGATGTTTTGATTCTTGTTTCTTATACTTATTAGAATATTCTATAACAATATTACTGGTCTGATGTTCTATTGTTATACATACTTCTGACTTTACTACATTTTGTCTATATATTAATAATAAATAACTTTTCCCTATTTTATAGCAATTAAAATGATTTTTAAACCCTATATTAGTATTTTGTGTTGTATTTTTAAGCAAATTATATTAGATCAGATCTGAAGATTCAAATAATTTTTCATTAAATTAATTAGTTTCTAAAAAAATTCTTTTCTAAATTTCATATTACAATCAGTATAAGAAAGAAAATTATATCCTATATATTTACTAAGTAAAAGATTTAGTCTATCTCTTTCACTTTATATAAATGATACTTGTACTTTTAGATCATTACTATTTCCTAAATTTTATCTGATATTTTCTTTATATATTTAATACTAAGTATTCTAATTCTTCATCGAAAGCAAAAAAATACTTAGAAATATAAGATTAACAAAGCCAACTTGATTTAATATTGAATGCAAGGAGAGATTTTTTAATATATAAGATATATAAAATGTAACTGTCTGAAAATAATTTGAATACTAGTCACTAGAAATAGTAGTATAAATACAATAAGATTTTCTAATTATATTTGAAAATAATCATGTCTTATTCCAAGCTAATGAGAAAGCCAAAAACTAGTCTAATAAAAAAAAAGATTCCAAACTCTTAATATATTATTTTTTTCATTAATTCTTCAACATTTTTTTCTTTTTTTTTTATATAATTTTGGATTGCAATACCTACTCCTACCTATAATAGTTCAAAAACTCTACAAGTCACAGAATAATCAACTACTTGTTCTAATTTATCTAAGTAAAGAATATCTAATATACTTGATAAATTAAAAATTCTATATCATGAAAATATTTTTACAAGTATAATACATATTACTTTATTTGTATACTATCTACTCAAAAGAAAGTTTAATTTAGAGTAATTATCATTATTGTGAAGAGAATGAAGATGTCTAAAAATAGCTTCATCTGTATATATTGTCAAATCTAGTGAACTAACTCCTATATCATTATAATATATTAATATTGCTTTATGTACATTTTCATCACAGTTAGCACTATCACCTGGTCTTAAAATTACAACTTCTGGTGATAGTAAAGTACATTTACTATTATTATTATTTCAAATTTTTGTTAAAATATCTTTGGTTTTAAAATTACTATAATGATCTAAAAAAGACCAAATAATTTGATTGAACTCTATTAGTTGTTCTTCAACAAAAAATGATACATCTACTCGAAATTCTTCAGGTTGAATATTCATATTAGTTATAATTTCAGTAAGTAGTTTGTGAAATATATATTGAAAATCTATCTGTAAGGTTACATGTGCTGTTTGTCTTAATTTATTGAAAATATTATCATAAAGAAATTGTTTTTGTTTAATATTTAAATTATTAACTACACATATATTTAATATATTTTCTTCTTTTAATAATTATTTTTTTGGATCATAATTAGTTCTTCTATCTTTTTCAATTTTTCTTTCATACCTTGTTGAATGAGCAATTATATTTGCTATACACAGAATAGTATACAAAAATAATTGCATATTTGGTTTTTGAGAAAGCAAACTAAATATATATGTTATCCAAATATTAGTATTAGGAAATACTATAGTTAAATTACTAACACTAAAAATGTTAAAATTTTAATTGTATGTTGATTATCAAATAATTTAAATTGTTGAAGTTAATGTTGTTTTCTTTGTACAACTGTTTATTTTTTTTCTAAATGAAAATAATTAAACTATCAATAAACTCTTTTATAACAAGTAGAAATATATTTCTATACAAGTTTAATTTAATAGAATTTTTTAAATCATTTTTATTTTCTCAAACATATGAACATGAGTTCCAAAGTATATATGCTAATGCCTCACCAAATTTTTTAGAATTGTTTTGTATAAGCTTTATAGAAGTAAGATTATTATCTTTAATATGTACTTTTTTTAACTGCAATACAATTTTAATAGCTAAATAACTAGATAGGTCTGAAGTCTTATTAGCATTTTTACATTCTTTATTAATCTTATTATTGTCTTTTAAAATTTTTTTCTTTCATGAATAGCTATTATATATTATTAGCTATAGTTTATTGATTAATATACTTTGCATAACTTTATCTAATAAATCTGCTATTTTAGATATCTATCTACTTAAAAGTTCTAATGATTTTGTTTTGTTATTATTATGCTTATTATTATAGTTAAATAATTTAGCTCTTTTTCTTTTTCATCTAAAAAAATGACCTCTTTCTTTTTTAAAACAAGTAGAATAAATATAATGTATTCTTTTACTATTTGTTAATAATTGAACAAATTGTCTTTTTTTAAAAACTGAATATACTTTTATACTACAACATGGATTATGTAAATTACAATTTATAACTGACTATGAATAAAATAGACACCTACTACCTCTGCTAAAAAAATAATACATATCATAACAAAACAAATATCTTCTTTTATAAATTATACTTTTTCTAATAGGAATACTACTTTTTAACTCTCTAGTATATAATCTGTCTTGATCAAAGTTAAAATGACTTGAACATATACTCAAAAATTACAAAGTATAAGTACAATTATTTTGTTTTAAAACCTTATTGGCTGTATTAAAAACTAACTCTTAAATACCCATTATTTGCTTTAATAGTCAAGATACAGAATTTGAATATCTTTTGAGTTTACTATTAACTAGTTCAGTAATTATATATTGTTTATTGCTATAATTAAAATGAATAGTAATATTATTAATATGATAATCTAAATTTTCATTATTAGTTATTGATATATTATCAGTACTTGACAAATATTCTAAAGTATTTAGCTTATTTGCTAACTAATCAATATCTGTAAAATCTTCTATTTCTGTATTCAATATCATTTGCATATATTCTTATATAAATTAATTATCAGAAAAAAGATTATTTATAATATTTTCATCAATATTATCACTAGTGACAATATTTTCATCAGTATTTTTACTTGTAGTAGTTGTATTAGTATTTGGTGTTTCAGGTTCAAATATATTATTAGTGGAATCAATAATATTCTCTTTATCAAGAAGGATATAGTTATTATCAGGATCAAGATATTCATAATTTGATAATTCATAATAATAATAAATATTTTTATTTTGTTTATTAATTGTTTGTGCTATTATTTCATTAGAGTATTAAATAACACAACTATTGTGCAAATTTAAAAAATAATTATTATAAAATACATAAATTTTTTAAGAAAAAGATAGTTTAAGTAAATACTTTTGCTTAAAAATTGATTATTATAGATAATAAGTTATCAGTTTTAGACAAAAATCTATAAATAAAATAGAATTTTTTTTAATAAATTTAAAATTTAACTCAAATAAAATATATAAATAACAAAAATTTTTTTTTATTATTAAGGTAGTTTCCTTTGCTGATTAAATTTTATTAATTTGTTATTACAAAGCTGTTACAAAGACAATCTCCTCAGATTTTATAGTTATATGATGAGTGTGCAACAAGCAATATATATAATTTTAGTTATTATTTAATTTAAGTAGTTTGCTATACAAATAATTGACTATCTGTTGGTTCTATACTATACTGCTATACCTGCAGCCTGCTTGCAGATTATCTATTTAAATATTCTAATCATTAACTTTTCTCCTTATTTTAAATTAACATCACCACTACATCTGATTACTTAAACTTGCTAACTTGCCTGTGGATC